ACAACAACAACAACAATGACAATCGTTTTTACAGCAAACCGCAGCGCAGACAATAACTTCTCCAGCCCTTCACCGCTCTGCTGCGACTAGGCCAGCCTAGCCTTTGCCATTGCTGCGGGTGTCTCTGTTGCGTGTGTGGGTACAGGGCGGTAGAGGAGGGGGGCTGGTGTAGAAGGTGGTGGGCTTACCAATTAAAATGCGCGACATCACATGTGCGCGAGCATTTATTATAAATTTTTCGTTGGAATTGACTGAAAAATAGTTGGTAAAAAACCAAGAAAAAAAAAATAAACTAAAAAGCGGGAGCAAATAAATAAAAGCGCATAAAGAACAAGCAGAACAGAAGAGCAGGGGGTTGACTGAACGAGTGCTGATGAGAGTCGCTGGAAGGGGGGGGAGGGATTGTTGTGTGGGTCGGGCTGGTACAGTTGCTACCGTTGCATGTGCGACAACCCGGCCCGCTGCCCCCGCTATATTCTGTGCATGTTACAATGTTGTTAATATGACGCTTAGTAGTTGTCTCATACATACACACACATACACAAACACACACATTCATGCCAACAAACACACGCTCACTCACACACACACATACGACAAAATATGCATTGACAATGTTTTTCAAATTGACGACGCACAACAAGAGTGAGAGAGATGGAAAGATAAGCTGGGTGGGTGGGGCTGTTGGGGGTGGGTGGGCATGGTGCATGATGCTTCATGGAAGGGAGGGGGGGGGGCATGTTGGGGCGCGTGGCAAGCTGTAAAATTATTGGCATGCGAACGATGCTGCAACGTTTATTAAATTTTTGAAGTGCCGCACCAGGGTGAAGTGTTGCCAGGGGTAAAAGGGGCTGCAGAAATATATGTATATATATGTACATATAGACACATAATAGAAGTATGCGTGTGTGTGTGTGTGTGTGTGTGTGTGTCATTTTATGTAGTATTAATTTTACAACTTGCATTTTGTATTTTGCAACATGAGCACCATATATCATTATTTGCAGCCAAATATACTTGATTTTCAGGCAATAGAGGTATTTGTGTGTGTGTGTGCCGTGAGTGTGTGTGTGTGTGTCTGTCTGTGTGCCGTGAGTGTGTGTGTGTGCTGTCTATCAGTTTCATTTTTGATTGCTTTATGAAACGAGAACTGCTTTATTAATTTGCCATCAGCTTGATTTTATTTTTATGTAATTATGGCTTAATTTTATTAACTTTAATTTATCGCTTTAATTAAACGTTAATCAATTGTCTTTTAAATAAGTTAAACAATTTAATCGACAGCAATTTGCGTTTATCCCAGCGTTAAATGAGTTAACATATTCGATTTTTGTGTGTGTGTTTGTGTGCGGATCAAAGTTAACAATCACTTTAACATGTTGTTAAAATAGAATAACTTTGCAGCTTAAATGTAAATAAAATATTTGTTAATCAACACTGCCAAATCTTTAGCTTAGCGTTGCCAACTTATTGATTCAGCGCTGCCAGTGTTTTTTTGTAAAATGAATTTAACGTAATTTTGTTGTTGAAAAACTAAAAAATGCCCTCAAGATAAGCGTTTTTTTTATTTATCTACATTTTTTTAAATTCGAATAGTCATCCACTTGCTTTCACCCAGTGTTGATAAACGAGCTAATGAACAAATATTATTTAGCTGTATTGATAAACTATCTAAGAAACTTTTTCTGTCAAATAAAAAGGCCAAGCATTGCTTTAAAATGAAACAAATTGAGCTAAAAATAGCTATTCAAACAGTTTTATTTTCTTCGCTCTATGCTGTTGTACACTCTGCAATATTGATCGAAAACTTTATAAATCGTTGCTCTTAGCACAATTTACCGACCCCTTTTTAAATGGTTTGTCAAGGCGAAAGAATCTTTAGTGCCTTAAGTCTATTGAGCTCGCCCCACCGTAGCAAGTAAGTTGCTGCAGCAGACACACATGGATTTGATAATACCCAAATACATTGTCTAATATTTGTGGATGCTCGGGCGAAGCGTTGCAAGTTAACTGTCGTCTGGGGGTCTCAAATTTGCTTTCTGCTTCCAGCTACACTTGCAACATGCCGCACTTCATTGCAACTAAACAAGTTTGCTAACTATTTGAGTGAGTTTTCATGCGTCGTTGCCGCCGCCGACGCTGCTATTCTTATACTTATTTGGTTTTCTGTCTATAAACATGTGTGTGTGTGCGTGTGTGCGTGTATTTTTGTATTTGTGTGTGCATTAGCGAGTTGTTGCAAAAACGTAAGGCTAAGCAAACCAAAGAGTAAACACAAGACAATGAAGTCTGAAATAGGAACTGCACATATCCACACTACTGTCACTGTGTTTGTGTGTGTGTGTGTGTGTATCTGTGTGTAACTCCATATTAAGCCGAGTCACAAACATAGATGGTAACTGAAAATACTTAGTATCTGTATCTGTAAGTTACATATTGCTAAGCAGCTTAAGATTTGAAAGCTTCAAAGTGTTGTCAGGGCTAATGAGTTCGTTCAACTTGTTAACAAATAAAAAACAAACATCTGTTTGGCATACAGCTATTTTACGCCGTGGCCAAACGCTGCGCTGTTGCCAAACTTCATTGTATTTTTGAGATATTTTCAAACCTCAACAGATTGAGTTTTCAAAGTGTCCATCTTTAATTTTAAGATCTTAAGACTCTCAAATACACTACATTTCTACTTAGCCAAACTTCTATGCAAAATGCTGTCTTTTGTATTTATTGCCAGCAATTTGTTTATAATTTAATAGCAAACACTCATCAGCATATTATAGACTGTTGTCAATTTTCATAGACTGTTTTCAATCTTCGAAGCGTCATTGTCAGATTTCAGACTTCAGAGCATTCAGTGCATTGTTGACAAATTGGATTAGAGTCCACCTCTTTTTCAAACCATTTGCCTTGTTGCCGAACTATAACTGGAAACTATTTGCTTTGAACAAGTTAGCAAAGCGTTAGTAAATAACTAAAGCGCAGTAGGTAAACTTCAGTGCCTCCTTACCAATTTTCAACAGAATTTTTGCATTGCATTGTTGTCACATTTCAAAGTGTCGTTTTAAAGCCTTTCCGAACATTTTGCCTTGTTGCCAAACTTTTATTGGAAACTGCAGCAGAGCGTTCTAAAATAATAATTTAATACGCTGTGGGCAATCTTTATTGCCGTGTTGCCAATTTTCAAAAGAAATTTTCCAAAGCATTACTGCCACATTTGAAAGCCACAAATTGTCAACATTGTCAAAGGCAATCCAATCCCATTGAAAATGCGTGAGGCTTCAGGCGCTCTAGTTGGGCATGTCCGGCTCTCTAATTGCTGACCAGTTGCACTCAAAGAGCCATTTGCGAGGTTGCCGAACTTCAATTAGCAAACAATTTTGTTGTAAAGTGCAGTTGGCCAAAGCAACAGAACTCAAAACTGTGCCCTCAAGTGCACATTTTGTCAAATCAAAAACGGAATTTGAATTTCAATCAACTTAAATTAAATCAAAATTTGTAAAATGAAGTGCAGACGCACACACACGCACACACAAATAACCATTCGAGAGTCACTCGATGACTTCAACTAAAACCCTCAACTTCAATTCCAATTTCATGGGCAGCTGCCAGTTGTCGTCCTTTTCGTTCTCGTCTTCCTAATCAGCACAAAATTTGAATATAATTCTCATGAATGCCCCGAGAGTTGTGCTCCGGTCTGGTCTTGGATACCAAGGGTCTTGGCCTTGGCGCACCCTACGACCACAGCAGCAGCATCAGCAGCTGCAAATGGGAAGCCAGCTGTAGGAGTTCAGAGCTGGAGTTCGGGTTGAAGTTGGAAGTTCGAGAGCCTTTATGGCCACAAAAATTCACAGCAAAGAAAAGTCGACAAATGCACTGGTCCTTCTTGTTGTTGTTGTAGTCGTTGTAACCTGCATGTGCTTCAAAAGCCATCATCTGACTGGAGACTTTGTAACTACGGTCTATAGCCTTGATGGTCTGTTCGGTTTTGGTTTTGGCTCAGACACAAAACCGCACAAAAGATGAAAGGCCAAACTCTTACACTTTGATGATTGAAATGGCGTGCTTCTTCCTCAGCTCAAGCTAAAAACTAATATGTTCAGCTTCATCTTTTTTTCTGTTTGTTTTTTCTGACTGTCTCTAACAAATGTTGTGTGGCACATTCAATTTACCAATGATGGCCATAATTGCTGGGACTTTTGCACAAAAACTGAGTACAAATACGGGCAACTGCCCGCCCGGCTTGATTAAAAATTGCGCACACGTAATCGCAATTGACGCCCCAGATTCGCGCACCTGTTGTTGCCCCCATTCTGGCAGATGAGTTCCACCCAGTTAACTGACAGCTTCGCCTTGTAGTTGTAGTTCTACACTTTGCTCAGTTCTCGAATTCTCCCAATTCCCATATTACTGGGCTCTGGCTCAATGGACAGTAGCTGCCCGTTCGCATTTAGTTTTTTGTGCCTTTTTGTCTCTGTTGCATTTTGCGCACGTTTGCTTTGCCAAGGCGTTAAATTAATGCTATATATGCTATATATATACCAGATTTGCTGCACTTAGCTCTTAGCTCTTAAGCCTCGAGTTATGCATAAAAAACCGTGTGTCGAAATCGATATTTATCGATAGCATAAAAATAGTAGCAGATATCGATAAGAATATCTCGATAACGATAACTCGTTCTGCGTATGGTAGACGGGCATATATATATTTATATATAAATATACGATTTGGCTCAGGAATAGCTTTCACTATAACTTATCCAGCTAATTCGGCTTAATATTCGCTATATGGTAAATACTTAACTGGAATTTTGGGTTCGATACGATCAAAAGCCTTTTATTAATGCTCTGCTGTTGTGCATTTAGGTAAGGATTGCATGGAAAAGTGTTTATTTGACAACTGAACTGGTTCTGTGAACTTATAGCTGGTTCTAAGTGCGATTTGCTAGTTAGTGTAGTTTTTTTCCAGCAAAATGACGCATTTTTAACAGAGTTTTTTACTTGCAGCTGCCGTCGCTAAATGTCTGACGAAGTGCCTTTGGGACGTTTATCGCAAATTTTTGATACACTTACCAATTTACAACAACAACAACTCCAACAACAACAACAACAGCAGCAACAACAACAACAGCAGCAGCAGCAGCAGCAGCTGCAGCTGCAGCATCAGGCGACGGCAGCGGAGCAGCGTCGACGTTCGGCCTCCTCATCGCCGTCACCGTCAGCGAGTGCCTCGGCGTCGACTTCGGGCCGTGCCACGCCTGCCGCAGCGCTGGGCGTGGCCGCCACTCAGACGCTCTATTATACGCACACGCACAACTACTTTCTGCGACCGCAAGATGGCGCTAGCTACCTGCACACGTTCCCGGCCTCGGCCGCCGCGCAACATTCCTCACACTACTATCAGCAGCAGCAGCAGCAGCATCAACATCAGCTGCAACTGCAGCATCAGCTGCAGCAGCCACCTTCATTGCCCACCCATCTGCCCGGGCGGCTGTCGGGCTCCGGCTCTGGTTCGGCGCCCGGTTCCGGCTCCGGCTCTGGGTCACAGTCGCTGCACGGCTCGCCACTGCTGGCCAAGCGCGCCACCTCGTTTAGCGGACAGATGCCGTTGACGCGCGCCGCCCAGCTGCATGAGGCACGCCTGGTGGCCGCCTCGACGCCCAACAGTCCGCGTCTGATGCCGCGGCGTGTGCCACGCCCGCCGCCCATACCGGCCAAGCCGGCCAAGGAGCTGCAGCCGAACACAGCAGCAGCCCCGGTGAATCCCGTGCTTGCCGCCCTCGATGCACCCGACGCACCCTGGCCACATTTCTCCACGCTAACCGAACATCTGAACGTGCATCAGCTGAACAACTATGGACAGGCATTGCCCGAGGTGCGTCCCAGAGTACTCAGCTCATGAAAGTCCTGCTGACTCTCACTCTCTCTTTGCCTTGCAGATCAATTGGCAGGAGCGCTGCTTGGAGCTGCAGTTGGAGCTGCATCGCTCCAAGAACCAAGCGGGCCGCATTCGTGATATGCTGCGCGAAAAGGTGAGTCCAAATACTTTTCTATTAAACTCTATCTGAAACCGTTGAGCATGTGGAGGCCAAATTGAACTGGTTTGGTTCAGCGATCCACAGCACTAAATCTTTTCATTATAAACTCAAAAAGTGCAAATGTGATAGAGCCCATTTCATATTCTTGTATTATTATATCTGGCAGAAGCCGCTAGCATTAAATATGACAAAAACTTGCGGCTAGGCATAATGTCAATCTGCAATGTTAGCAGCGAACCCACATAAAACTGGTTCAAAAGAACTATTTTGCACGTACTGTGAAAAAATGGGGTTCTCGAATGTTTAGTATCTGAATTATGTATACTTTGATTAAAACTGAGCGCAGGTTCAATGACCGAATAAAAGTGGAACTGGTTCAGTTCATTGTTTCGTTGCATAAATTCTTTCTCTTGTTAGCTTATGAGGAGCTCAATTTTAGAATTAATTGGAAGAATGTACTCTAAGGAGCACTATATATACATCTAAATTCGCAAAAAGTGAATAAAAACTTGTGAACTGGTTCCGTTCACAGCTTGTTTTGGAACAAGTTCATAATGGATAAGCGTATGCGACATGGGCAATAGGGACGCTTGGGGACTTGTTGATTAGCGTAAATGAGTTAATAAGTGAGCATCAAGAAGAAGATGAGCAGAAAAAAATAAAATAACGAGCACAAAGTGACGCACAGACACATTAATTACACACACACACGCACACGCAGAGACTTGTGCGAAATGATGATTTATGGGGCCCATGGTTAAAACATTTTTATGACGGCCCCTTACAATTATCAGGCCAAAAGCTAATCTACTTGCCAGGAACAGAGCTCTCCGCCCGGAACTCCCTTACTTGCCCGTTGGCTAATTTGTAGCGGAAATAGTGCAGCTGTCTGTTGACAGTTTCTACACACGTGTGTGTGTGTGTGCGAGTGTTTGAGTCCTTTTATGATTAGACTAATTAAGTCATTAGGCATTTGGCCAAAATAAAAGCATCAGCAGCATCAGCAGCCTCCGATCCGCGCCTGCTCACCTCCAGGGAGCTCGCAGCGATATGCGACGCCATTGTCATTAGGCTTATTGGCAGCGCCATCTAGCGGCGCAGTAATGCAAAAACTATATGAATTATTAAAATGTTTCTCTGTGTGTGTGTGTGAGGATTACTTTCATCTCTGCACACATGGCAGATGGTGTATACACTTCACATGGTTACATGGTCATGAGTCGTGACATAAATTAATTACACTTCAATGATTTTTGCTGCATGAATTATGCATTATGCTGAGCGCGACCATACTTAATGCCCATTTCGGGTATATGTATTTTGTGTAACGATCTTTTTCAATCGCAATAAAATGTAGGAAATCTCCAGCTTAAAGTTAAACAAGTGAATCAATGAATAAATATGTGCAACATTGCTGATATTTTCATATTTTCATATTTATAGCCTTGCACGGTCACTTAACCAGGGCCGTGAAAAATTTCAACATTACTCTTCCAAGTATTCCGCATTTTAGAAAGACATTTGAATATGAGTTTAAAACGCAGAACTTAACTTTTGCTTATCAACCTGATATGCCCATTTTCTGCACAGGATTGGTTGGCCTATGAGACTTTTTTCTGGATTATTCTAAATGAATTTTCCGAGAGTTCTTTTAAATTCATGCAAGCATTTTCCACAATCACGGAGATAAGAAGAGTTTCCCGTTTTCTACAATCCCGAAGACTATTTCAGGGGGTGGAATTCCCATTTTCCACAATCAAGGAGACTGGCTCCAGAGGAGATTTCAATTTTCAACAATCATGAAGATTCTTTCAGAAGATGATTCCTGTTCTTTTCAATCACGAGAATATTCTCCCTCTAGAGAAAATTCTCGTTGATCAAATTTTTATGGAATCAGTTAAAAATAAAATGATTTTCGGATTAATTTAACTGTTGAGATTACGATTTAACATAAGATACTCAGTTCTGGCAGTAATCGAGATTTTAATATTTCTGGCTTGAGGAACTGATCAATCAGATTGGAACTAATGTGTAGATATAGTCAGATACACCGATGACTGTCTCTCAGCCAGAACCAATATACTCTTGATAAGCCTATAAGCAGAGCATAAAGGAAAACACAATCACACGTTTTCAGAGTGCTATTTGCAAACTTTTGGCATCTATAATAAATGTGCCGGGCCAAATAGAGTCTTGACACATTTGCAGCAAGTTGGCAGCTTGGCAGCTAGCAGCAGGTATGCCGCTCGCCTTTAGCTCGTCTCCCCCCTTCCACAAGCACCCCTTTCATATATTCTCTTTGTGTCGCTCGAGAAGTTAACAAATAACCCGAAATGACCTCTTCAAAAGTTGCTCACTTCCAGCTTCTGCATTGTTGTTTTCATTATGTTAGGCGACGTTGGTGTCAAGGTGTGTGCGCGTATGTATGTGTGTGTGCGTGTGTATAGGCATGTGTGTGCATATGTGCAGCGCCTATTGCTATGCAATGGAAACTTTGCAGGCCATTGTTGATATTTGCTAGGCCAGTGCGGGTGGCAGGAATGTAGTGAATGAAGTGAGTATGGCGAATGCATTCGTTTGCTTTGTGCATTGTCGCATGTCGCTTTTAATGAAAGAAATAAAAACAAGTGTGAATCGTGTGCAGCCAACTGAGCCATGCCCGTTCACAGTACCACGAACAGTTTAAAACATATATCGATTATTTCGATAAATATTGTGCTATCGATCTCGAGCGGATCTCATCAGAAGTCTTCATTGCGAGTGGAATGAATGGTCTCTTTAGCACAATTCATAGATTTGCCACGCCTCCTGTGGTCGTAGCCATAGCCATACACAATTATGTCTAACAGACAAAAAGTCGGCCAAGCCCAATATACCCTCTTCACTTTGCGAGCGAGCATCAAAAATTGATTGTGAATACTAAAACTTCTTTATGGCAAAAAGCAAAAACTCCAAGAACCTTTGACCTGAACACCTGAAATGCTGCTGCTGCACTTTTCAATATTTAATTGGCAGCAAATTTCGCAAAGCAGTGGACAAAAAAAATATATATATATAAATATATATCAAAGCAAAGCAGTGCCGGATATAAGCACAAGCAACTAGAGGTATGATCGCATTTGCGCTGCTCGACTTGCCGATGCCCTGCATTAAGTTTTCACAACAAGAAAAAAAAAAAAACAAATAGAAGCAAATAGAAGCTTATTCAAAGAATTTACTTTTGAATTAACCTCAAAATTATTTATAGATTTTGGTTTTAAGTAATTTATTTTGTAGAGTTCAATCTAACTTAGTTTTCTTCTATTTATTTATTTTTTTAAAGAAAATTTATGAATAAATAACTCTAACATTTTTTATATTTCGCAAAAATACATGAATAGGGCTTATTCCAGTTAGATCTAGTAGCTATCTGGGATTAAATGGATCCCCTAGAGCCGGCCTGTTTTAAATTAAGTATTAATAATTGACAGGTCACTAAAAACATTTGTTTTATCTTAAAGTGTTCAAATTATGCACCTTTTTGAAAGTTTCAAGAGGAAAAGTAAACTTGTTATTAATACTATTCGCAACACGAATAGGGGCTAATGTATGAGAGAATTCGGCTATGCCGCTGCGTGGTCATGTTACAGGGTATTCAAAAATATCAGAGCAAAGCCAAATTGGATATCAACGCAAAATGAGAAATATAACAACTCGAACGACTAAAAGTATGCAATGAATATTTTATTTGTGTTTTATGCATTTGCCATTTGCCATTTTTCCTATTTGCTGTTTGCTGTTTGCTGCTTGCCTTTCGCCTTTTTCATCGCCCATTTTTATGAGCTCTTCTATTTTTGGTTGTTTTTGCCGCCTGCCACACAACTTGCAACTTTGCAGCTGCAGCTGCAGCAGCTTTCAAGTGCAGCACATTTTTGTCATCATAAATTTTAAATTAGTTGCAGCAAACTTGCAGCTTGGCCACGCCCCAGCCGCCTTTTGCAAACATTATGTTTATTTATAATTTATTTTGTATATTCTTTTCATTTTATTTTACCCATCGCAAAGCCCATTTATAAAAACTAAGCAAATCTGTCGAGAAAAACCTTTTATTATTTATATTTTTGAGTGCTCATAAAATGCAAATTTTCCAGTCAAGCGCAATTTTCGGCTGTCGCTCACTTTTCATAATGTCACAAGTTGAAGGATGGGGACAGGCTATGGCAATGACAAGGGGGGAAGGGGACGCTTTGGGGCGCACCGAAGGAGCAATCAAAAGAGGCGTTAAGCTAAAAACCACAACATCGACTGGGCCAGCAAATGTTTTTTGGCAACAATGTGCAAGACGTGAAATTATGGCCAAGCATATTGCAACATTCTTGTACGATAATAAAATTCAAGTTTATTGCCAAGCCAGCCAGTCCCAGCCGCAGCTCAGCCCAATCCAAGTCGAAGTTCACAGTCGTCCGAGCCAAACAACTGGCCCAACCAGGCGAGAACTGTGCCGAAAAGAATACCGAATGAATAAAGTTTTACGTAGCTGGGCACACAATATCCCATATCGTTGTGTTTACAGCTGCGACGTTGCCAAATTTCGCGTTTTTAACACTAAGTGAGAAGGTTGTCTTCAATTAAATCTTATCATGAATGAAATATTTATATATTCATGGGCCATTGTTGCCGCGCTTCAGTTAACTTTGAGCTAAAATTGACAGTTTTAGAGGTTGCATTTATTTAAGGTGCGATTTACATTACTTTAATGTTGCCAAAATTCACTGAATATAGGTTTGATAACATTGCCAATTTTCATATTTTTCTTTCACACTTTATTTATAGTAGCGAATACAGCAGGCGAAACTTACTCGCAGCGATATATTATTGTGCCGCGTTATTTCTTTTCCTCTTGTTTCAAATTCTATGAAATCTTTATTCAAGTGACCAAGTAACTGGGCTCCATTCAAGCGGTCGCTTATTGTGCTCAAATCCCTATTTTATTGTTTCGCAAAGTTCAGCTGAAG